TGTTCAAAATGTTATATTATTTAAAATTTAGAATAATTTTATGTTTACATACATGCTTTGATTTTTTGATCGAAATTAAAAACAAACTTCTACGTGTCAAAGATTATTTAGGTTTTATATGATATTGATGGCAATAATAAAGTAAAAATACATTAGACATAATGAACAATCATTATTTTAATCTTACCTGATATTGTATAAGATATCAAATATTATTAAAAGATTTTTTTCAATTAACATCAAGTGAAATCTCTAAAAGTTAATATCAAAAGTAAAGCTTGTGGAAAATTAAGCCACCGTTTAAAATGTTTCACGATTAGAAGTTCACTTTCAGCAGAAACATACAAAATGTCTGTCAGAAAATACTGTTTTGTTCAAAAGCTCAAACGCATCAAACTCTCCGTCAAAAGTTACAAATAATAAATAAAATATTGGAGCTGGCATGTAAAATGTTGATAGTCTTAATGCATTTAGTTTCAAGTCAATAAGAGATGGAATAGCTCGTTCTAAGAGTCAAAGCTTTGGCTATTCGCACTAGATCCTGAAGTTTCACTTTTGAGCGACTAAATGATTTACTACCAATTGAGGATGATAATTATACGTGTATATGAACAATACAAATTATTGTTAAGTTCAAAACAATTATTTTCGAATGTACTGCCATATATATGTCATAAAACTATGCATGAGTCATGTAAAATATTGCCAGTTTTAATAAAGTTATTTTCAAATTGAAAGGATGGGATAGCTCTTAGTACATACTAGAATTCGTGTTATTTGCGCTAGATTCCGTAGTCTCACTGTTTCCATTGTTGTTCGTTCCATTATTCACAGTTTGGGCAACCAGATGATGTATTACCCTCATGGCTTTGGGATTCATCTGAATTACTACTACAGTATATGTAACTAAAGCTGCACTAACATTAAGTATGAATCCTTTATTGATGGTAAAGAAATTCCACCCACTCAGTCCCACTGTCGGCGATGTTAGACGATTCAGAAAAAACTGAACTTGAAGTTTTGTGTCCAAATCCATTCTACTCGTCCGTAAAGTGAATGTATGAACAGTTGACAATGAGGCATGGGCTTCTTGAGAGACATTCGCAGCTGTAGCGCACGTGCCTAGGAAAGAGAAAACCGAGTATATGACTTTAAGGCTGAAGAAGAACACATCGTCTTGAGTTTTATTTTTAAGCAGAGTATCGTCTGTAAAAAGTTGTGTTATGTCCATGCACACCGCAATGACGAGAAATAAAAACCAGAAAAATATAACTTTTCCGAATATAACATCTATATATGTCACTAAAGAACAAAGTTTCTCATGGAAAGAACGTATGCGATTAAACTCGCTACCAAGATCTTCTGTTGGATTTGATGGACCTATTAAGCCTAATATAACTCTATTATGTTCAGCATATGCTTCTGCCAGAATCATACAGACTGACATGAACAGAATGGGCGTGAATATTAGCGTTCCTTGAATAAAAAACACTTCTAAGCCTGATACTAGTGCCACACAAAAATATGCTATTTCATCTGTATAAGAATCGGGTGGCTTGCTGTAAAATATGCTCTGATATTGCTGTGTGGCAGGGGCATTGTCCACTACACTAATCGCTGCTATCATGCGAAGAGAGAGATAAAACCAACCAACAATTGTGAGGATTATAACTTTTCGGAAACATCCTCTCAACGAACTTTTACTCGATGGTATCTGCTTAATAGTACCATCCAGTTTCTCCACTGCTTTTCTTAGTTCATTGCTAGTTAAATTTAAGAGAAGCGACGCCAAAATGCTACTGGTAGTTGTAAGCACAACAGATATAAACTCAAAAGCAAAACTGTTGTTGAGGACCATGTTTCCAATGCATGAGCCTAAGTACAGTAATCTGAAAAGAGTGACGATAATAGCCCATAATCGGCAACCAAAACTAGGCAAAACACAAACACCAACTATTCTTAAAGTAGCTATTACTGGACGCAAAACAGCTGTACAGCTATATTGTTTACCACGCTCTAGTCGAGTCGACCCACGAGGTTTTATTGCTGTATGCGGGGAAATTTTATGCATGGCACGACCACATAATCTACATCGAGAAGGAGAATTTTGAAAACGGCGTTCGATCCCCAATAAATGATCCATGACTGTTTTGGTCGTTTGTCCAAGGCAGACGTTATGACGTTCTTCATTCTCTTCTTTTTTCAGTCACCTCCCACCCACTTAAGAAAAACCCATTTAGATTGATCGTTATTTCGGATCATCTTGTGTAACTATTGACAGATAAATGACAACAAAGTGGACTTAAAAGCTCTTCACTTACTGCAGATAGAGAACGATATTACCATCATAAGAAAAAGAGGACGTTTATGTCATATATTTGTTTTGGGGATTATTTCCGGTTTTTTTCCTCAGTTTCAAATATTTACTTTACTAAAATATTTACTAAATATTTTTAAAAAATTACTTTTGCTTTGGTTCGAAATATCCTAGTCCTTGAACCATTATTTTTTTTTCACCTTCAAAATTATAAAAGGAAGGGATGAAAAATGATATTACGTAATTTTCTAAATTTGTTAAAACTGTTACATAGCATTAGTCATGCATTTTTAAACAGAATTTAGGTTAGTGGATAGTATGTATTATCAGCCTAAAAAGTGTTTCGCCATATTCATGAAAAAATATAATACTAAATTTTATTTCTACGTTTATATTTATTAGTAGCATTATGTTGTAATTTTAGTATCTCTGTTATAAATTAGATTTGAATATTGTTTTTTTTTTTTTAAATTTTAATATAGAATAGGATTTAATCAAAGCTTACAGTTTTTAATACTTTTTACTTTGTGCAGAAATACTTTTCATTTTAATACACAAACATTGTATGAGGAAAAAAAAACAATTTTGATTTTTATTTATTTATTTTAATCTTGAACTATTTTTATTTTGTATTAGTTGCAATTATTATTATTTTTACTTAATTACAATTTTTAATACTATTTTGAATTTGTCACAATTATTATTATTTTAAATTAATTGCAATTATAGTTTTTTACACAAACTTTCCGAAACAGCCTTAAAGAAGAGCATCTTGAGATTGTCTCAAAAAGTTATCGCTGTGCTATGATCCAAAATTAAAATTTAATTTTTAACTTTTTCCTTCTAGAATGGCACTTTACTTAGGCTACACTCAATATTTCTCTAACAATTGAACTTGCCACGAAAATATGATAAATTTGCTAATGAAAATATAACACTTATATAACACTAGCTACACTCAATATTTCTCTAACAATTGAACTTGCCACGAAAATATGATAAATTTGCTAATGAAAATATAACACTTATATAACAACTGCGTTTACCATTTTTATTTTTTAATTACTTAGAAGTTAAGGTGTAGGAACATGATTATGATTGTGGTGGAACACTTATTACGCTAAATGCCTCTAACATTTCTTAATGGCATAGCAAATAAAAACATGGATATTTATCTTTACATATTGCAATGATGTGGTTTTTTAAAAATACCTTTACAAAATGGTGATATATTAATGGAAAATGACTTAAAAATAGGGTGGGTTGGCTCATTTAATAAATCAAACTATTGTGATATCCGCTTTTTTTTGTCTGTTAGTTTTTTATGCCGGAAAATAGCCAAAATAAGCTACATTCTGCTGGTAGTGGTCAGAGAACGATTAAAATATCTTTTTAATTCCAGAGAAAAGATCCAATTTAAATTTGTGTTCAGAACATGGTCAAAAATTTTAATGAGTATGTATCAATATGGTTATAAATTCTTTTGTATCAATATGGTTATAAATTCTGTTTGTAGCGATGAAGAAACAATTTAAACTTGCATTGACATCAGACAGAGAGTACCAGTAGAGATTTAAATGTCCCCAGCTAGTCGAAAAGTTGTCGAAGTTCCTATCGTAAAATTTCAACCTCGCAATCATTATATAAATGCAATAATAGTTAAAAACGAAAATTACTGAGCGCTAATTTCATAAAACAAAATTAACTTTATATGTTCTGATAAGTTTTAGATTTTAACTATACTCAGTTTTAGTTTTTTTTAATCAAATAATGATCCCTCAGTTTATTTAAGATCTTTTTAGTTCCTATCTATTGTCTCCAAGAGAAATATCGTCATACAATACTACCTATTTGTTGATTAAAGCATTGATAATGAGAAGAAAGATTTAATAAATAGCCCTTAATAAAAGGATATTTTTTAATGTATCCAGTATTAGGAATGTAACTAATATTGATGTATACGGATATATAATAATCTGTTTTTATTTCTATTGCACCTGAAAGAAATATCTTTCTACAAAATTCCTTCTAACATATAAAATAGCTTTTTCTATATCATACGTAAACATATAAAATAGCAGAAGCTAAACGAAAAATTTGATGAATAGATTTTGAAAAGAAAAATAATTGTTAGATTTTTATGTGTCCATTATTATGAATTTATCAAACATTGCTGTATCAGTATGTAAAATTGTCCCCGTTTCTTTAAATGATCCTTGAAAGGAATGTCGTTGTGATCTGCCATTGAGGCAGAGGGGGTGTGATTGTTCTTCTTTTCCAGTGGCGCCATCTATGGCCAAGAATTCGACTTCTGCCAAACTCATACATCATACTCGTTTATAGGGCGGAGCCATTCACACTTCCATTCATTCAGCCATAGATAGTAATTTTGACCTTAAGCAGAGAACGATCAATCTCCAATTCAGTACCCCCAGAGGTATTGATTTGTTAGGGGAACATGTAGGACTTTGTAGCCCGACAGATTTAGCGAGCACCAGTCAGCATTTACTACACGGGGAATCTTCGGTCGGTTGGATTCGAGCTCCCGCTCTCACAAACGGTAGTCCAGCGCCCTGTCAACCAGGCTATCTCGGCCCTTGAAAGAAATATCTTAATACTGCTTACTTGCATCTTTCGTAAACATATTAAGTATCGAGAAAAAAAGAAAGATTGGAAACAAAGAAAGAGTTTAAGTAAAAAGCTTTAATTCGATTGTGTTTTTTTTAAAATATTTACATAGATTTTCATTGTATATGCAAACAATGTGATGCAAAACAAGTTTAAGTATGTAATCAATCCAGAATCAATACCACCTCAGTTCCTGGCAATAAATTTTAGTTTTTGTCGGCGAGGTGTGTATGTAATCTCTAATTTCCCTTCAAGATCTGGTGGGTGGCTATCTTCAGGAAGAATATCAAATTTCTGGAGTACCGAAGCAAAATATCTAAAAATTTCCATCATGGCTATCGATTCTCCTGGACAATTTCTCCGACCTATAAAAACGTCATCTTCTTTTAGAAAGATCATTTCATAAAAATAGGTTATTCAATAATTGTATGAAAAATTAATTTTTATTTATTTTCTAATAAAATATAGACTCTGAATTAACTGGGATCTGATTATTCAGGTTACGGATTATCCGGGTTATCCAGAAAATAAGTTCCTCGTCAAGACAATGCAATGTGTTTATCCCATATGATGCAATGTGTTGCATCACATTTGACACGTCAAGGCAAGTTACGAGAACATTAACCCTTTCCGAAACAGAAAATTTCGACTGATAATTTTAGTCAGGTAGGACATTAGCAAGTGCGACTTTAAACAGTATAAAACTATGTGAAGCTACATACTTCAGCTCTTTGTTGTTAAAAAAATAGTGGATGCTAAACGTTTAAAAGCAATAATTTTTACTATTGGTTTGTAACATTTGTTGAATTTGTGTAGACAGACTAGCTGCGCTGCACCGGAAAGGATAAAATTTACTTTTTACTACGATTTCATCGGGAAATGGAATCAAAATAAGTTCACTAGTTCTGAATTTTGTTTTCCTAATGTGGCAACGATGGTTAATTTTGTGTGAGTATTTACAATCGTGTGCATTGTAAATCCTTTTTTTTTCTTCAAATATTTTAATAATGTCCAGTTTTAGATTTAATTTATGTCCAGTTCAGTTATGTTGGATCAGATACGTCCAGTTTTATAATTAGTAATCCAGCTATAAATTTACTCTAATTATGTTATTTAAATTCTATGCAAATGTTATTACTTTCTTAAACTCAAGGTCTTTATGGTTTATATTTTAGAGGAGATGCGAAAATTGTTTTTCATTCCATTCGTACTAGTGGATGAGTTTTATCAGTTAAAAGCTGCAAACTGATGTCAGAGATAGCTATCAATAGCTTATTAGAGTATTTTAATCTTTGTAAATTACTTTCTTTTTCGAATATTTTTCATAAAACTTATCAGTCTTATTTGTGATTAACAGTACGTGAAACTTTTCCATGCTGTTGTAATAAATAGTTATAGACTTCAATAATGTGCATTAAAGACACACGCTTAAAATTTTTTGAATATCATGAGCGTATCCCGTAAAACTACTATACGACAATCTTTAGCATTTAATGGTGTTTTGATGTTATTCAATAAAGGTCAATGAGTGGCGATGGCTTTGGGGATAGAGCTTTTGCCTTACAATTAGGTGAACCAGATTCGAATACCAACGAAGGCTGGTCGATACGAATTCCGCATCCGGCATTGCACCGACCACAGTGCTGAAGTGAAATATCCTCAGTGGTAGACGGATCATGGATTAGAGTCCCCTTGCCGCCAGGTTAAACGAGGGAGGCTTTGGGATTTTTCTGCTCTATGTAACACAAATGTGGGTTAGTTCCACGAAAAAGTCCTCCACGATAGCAAATTTCTCCCAATACTTGATCCAGGAGTTCCCTTGTCTTCTGGATTGGGTTCAAAATTACAAGGCTACGGAGTGAACATTAGTAGTCGTAAACCCAAAACTTGGGTCGGCTGTTCACCAACAGTTATAAAATAAAGGTCAACGAAAGCTACTATCTGGTCTTGGGTAACTAGCTTGAGTTTTTTTAAAGTTATGGTATCAAATAAATATTTCTTCAATTACGTATAAATATTTAAAAAAAAGTAATGAGTTCATAAAATTGTACCGATTGAAAAAGGAATGTAACTTTCAGGTTTTGTTTTGCTCAAGGAACCATCTTTTGAAAGAAATCTCTCTGGCATAAAGTTTTCTGGGTCTTGCCAATATTTCGTATCGTTATGCAAGGCCCACATATGTGAAAAGATAAGTGTTCCTTTGGGAATATGAAAATCTCCGATCGTTGTATCCTCATTGGCCCTAGAATAGAAAGGAAAAAAAATAATTTTGAAAATAATAATTTTTTCTAATTTCATAGAGCAAAATTTCAGAGAGAACAAAATATGTTAATTATAAGTATTTGATAAAATGCCTCTTAGAAGTTTTAGAATATTTCACTTAAGAAATATAGCCATGTATTATTATGAATTGTTTGGAGCAAATGAATATATGATAGAAGTGCAGAAACAATAGAAAGAAAGAATTTTATGCGAGTTATCGTCAATTAGTTTGAATTATTTAAACGGCCAGTTAATAATTATCTAGCAAATTACGTTTATGAACTGCTAATGTGAAAATTCATGCTATGAAATATTACTCAAGAAGCGTATTTCAAAACAAATTCTAAGTGGCATTTTAGAGAATTAAAAACTTTAAAGTATATTGCAAGAAAGACATAAAACAATGTTTATAAAAAAATTTCACATCATCTTACTTAAGATTTTAGCAGCAAAAATTAATTCATTTATGTACATAACTACTCATGTGAAACCAAAACAGTATTTGTCGTAATATCTTTTGAAACTTCTTTTACTAAAATGCTTAATAATGAATTTTAAACAACTGATGAAATATTTGATAATGATGATATAGCTTTTAAATAACAACTCGGGAACAAATTCACTAATTTGCAAAATGTTTGAATCATGACAGAGAAGAATTTGCAACCATCGCTGCATTCTTAGGATGCTTAGTTTGCATGTATTCTCAATTAACCGAAAATATAATATTAAAAATGCACTGCCTGAGAACAAAATTTGGAAAATAACTTTTATCTAATTGCTTAGCTGTCAATTAATAATGAATCCTCAGTAACAAAGTTATTTCTTTCTTTTCTCAAATTTTATTTTTGTACAAATGCCACTGTACGTATGTTATGAAGAGTGCGCTCCAGAGAAAGTAATTGACTGGACTGCTGAGAGATAAGCAGAAAGAGACCTATACTAAGATTCTAAAAAGATATGGTGCCACGCCTATTCCATTGTCATGATCAACTGTGCTAGGTTGAGGGATTGAGAATCCATAGTTCAAACAGCATGACAGAAGTAATCTCACCATTATGCTTATTGAACCACTCTTTTACATTTCAGCGTGTACACGTCTTATTGTCCTGCCATAAGAAAGCGATCATGTAGATAGTTCGTAAGGACAGCTGTATACATCTATTGATCCATCACACTTTCCACCTAAAAAATGGCATCAAAAAATTCCCCATACCATAACGTTGTATAATGTGTGTTCTGATGTTTTGCGCCATGCACGTCCTCATCCATCTGTTCGATTAAAGATGATTAATCAGTAAAGATGATTAATCAGTGACGACATGCCACTCGCTGTAAATTGAATTGAGGTACTGGCAGACAAATTCGAACCTTAATCGCTGATGAGCAGCAGTGTTTTTCTAGACAAGGGGTGTACAAGGGGTACTTAGGCAACACCTACTAGAAGGTCAAGGCCCGGTGGCTCAGCGATTTCAACCCTGTGACTGCGCAAACAGAAGGTAGCGTCTGCAGCAACATCTACTAGGCCTTCTACTCTAGTTGGTTATGGCTTTATACAGCAACATTCGCTGAACTGTCATTGACAAGATGCGTTGCCTCACATTTGATACGCCTCTGTTTGGGAAGGCATATAGTTCTACTTATGCTGCACCTAAGTAGTTTACATAATTAGCCATTTCGACAATTTTTATCCCCGAAGCTTCTGGCTTGCCTTGTTAAATTTCAGATAAATCACCCTGTTCCGGAATTATGCCAAGATGGCCTTATACTCGACTTCTCCCAGATACTTTTATAGTTTATCCTCTACTTCTAATACTGCTACTTGCCCCCTGTGATATCCTATTTCACGTTAATTGTTGGTGGTCAGATTAATGTGACTGGACTATGTATCTTTTTCATAGCATATTAATATAATCAGCTTCATTTATTTCCATCAATTATGAGTTTGGGGGAGATATATGATACAAATTACAATTAAAGTACTAATGTTACGATTAAAGTTCTAAAACGTTGATTCGATTGAAGCTATCGAAATAAAAACCAAAGAGATTTAGAAAGATTAAAAATCGCAATTTATAAAAAGACTAGATCGGGGTGATTTCTCCGACAAAAATGCTCAGATGCTTCAAGATAATAATGAATTTGATAAAATTGGGTAGGAAATCTAAAGAAAATATTTAAAAAAAACATTTTTTAACTTGAAATTTTGATTATTTAAAGAATTTTTGAACCAAATTGATGTTTATATCTTCCAGCTGACTAGGATTTTCTTTTTAATTTTGGAAAACTGCGTATTGTGTTAAAATGACACTTTAGTTTTTCCGCTAAGCCATAAAATATTTTGCATAGTTTTTAAAAATTTTGAATGCATATCTTACATGCGTGCAAGATTTATCGGGCTCACTGTCCTCCATCTTTGACCTTCCATGACTGTTGCATAAGTAAAAGGTAAATTCCTTGCATTTGACCACTGACATTTGCCGTCCGTGCCCAAAACATTGTCAATTTCTTGATGACACTTGTTTTGTACACCTAGATTCGATGCCATAGCGAAGAACAGCCATAACAGAGATGTCCTTGTTGTTTCACTCCCGGCTTGGATCAGTGCTTGAGCATTGGCTGTTAGATTTTCCTCTAAATAATAAATAAACGAAACAGTATTTATCAAAATATAATAAGTTTTCGAAATTAAGAAAGGTAGTATTTTTACAATAAAATGAGAGCTCATTCATGTGGTACAATAGTCATGGAAATTTCATACTACTAAAATTTATTCCCACATGCATATTACTCATAAATAAATATATTATGTGTATGAGTGTAATTAAACTCAATTTAGAAGCTATATTATTACTATATCAATAAGTTTTACCTCGTTGTAATTTTTATGTTTCAAATCATTTATCATGAAATTTATGATAGCTAAGTAAAGTAAGCCCTCAAACATTGAAACAGTTTTAGTATTTCAATATATTGAAGTATTGTATTTCAATATATTGAAACTTTAAAAAAAAATTTAATTCTTACTTAAACGGCAAGTTTTTACTGGTGTCATATAACAAATTGTAAATCCGAGTTTCAAAAGAGATTACTCAAATAAATTACTGCATCGTTAAAAAAAACCTGTATTAATAATAATAAAAAAACATATTAAAAAAACATGTATTATATCATTACCACAAAGATCCGTTCTAAATCAGTTTATTTTAAAAATAAATATTTTTTAAAACATTTTATTTATCCGTAAGAGAAATTTGTATGAAAACTGAATAAGTTGTGTACTTTTTAATTTTTTTCATTGTTTTCATGCATTTGAGAACAGTTTCCTACTGTATTTATTAATTTAATATTTTTTATTGTGTTATAACTGACAACCAACGAAAGGGAGTTCTTTTTTCTTTGTTTTATTTTCATAATGATTAATTTTGTAGTTTCTAAAAGGTGTTTCTAACTCCGAAGATGGTAAAAACCTTTTAGGTAAACAAGTTTACAAATACAAATATGGAAGATTTACTTCAATACGTTTTCAATTTCATAACTTCATCAAAATTTCTATTAGATAAATGCAAATTTATGACAGTTGATATGCATGGTGATCACAGAGGTATCTAAAAAAAAGGGGGGGGCTCTCTCCCTCCCTGTATCAGGTCTTCATTATACACACGCAAAAGAAACAATTTCATTGCTTTCACTCATAAATAATTTATATAATTTTTGACCTCATTTGCAAAGAGTTACTATATTTTTCTATCTTATCACTTTCTTAAGCAATTCATTGAATGAATGAAGATTTTATTGAATGAAAGAAATATAACGGTTGTTCTTACCAGTGAAACAACTTTTAATGTTTTTTTCTTTCAATAATTTCATTTGTCTCAAATAACCATCTATGAAAACAGTTTCATCTGTCATCTCAAATATCTTTTTCCTAGAACTGACTTCATTTCTATAAATAAATAATTATTGAGTAATAAAAAATACTGAAGATGTAATTAATTAGCACGTTAATCAGTTCAAAATAGATGTAGCATATTGATGCGCCCATTTGTTTCACGCTTTTCATGCTTGACAATATCTTTTACTCGAATTTTTTTTACGTTGACCTTAAAATATAGGGTGTTGCCGCTATCTAGGAAATATGGTCCCTATAGTTTGATTAGGAGAGCGCTTCAAAGTTTGGACACCTCAATGTTAACTTTACTTTTCGCAACCGCTATATCTCGAGAACTTTTTAAGCCGATTAAAAAATTTTTACACACAATTATAAGATTCGTTTATCCAAAGATAATTCCATGCAAATAATAACTTTTATTAAATATTTATTTTTTATTATTTTATTTAAAAATGGTTGAAAAAATTTTAAATTGTAAATTATAAAATTTTAGGCATCATTGTAAAGAATGTAATTTTATACAGCCAAAATGCAAAATTTGTTGAATAGTTCATGAGAAATCAAATTTTAAGTATAACTATTCGACCAATTTTGCTCAAATTTTGTATTTTGCTATATAAAATTACATTCTTTAAATTGATGCAAAAAATTGTATATCTTAAAACTTTCTCGACCATTCTTAAATGAAATAATAAAAAATAATAAATATTTACTAAAAATTATTTTTTGCATGTAATTATCTTTGGATAAACGAACTTCGTAATTATGTGTAAAATTTTTTCATTTCGCTTAAAATGTTCTCGAGTATGTTCCAACTGTATAGCGAAGTTCGTGAAAAGTAAAATTAGCATTAAGGGGTCCAAACTTTGAAGCGCTCTCCTGACGAAACTATTGGGACCATATTTCTCAAATTGTGGAAACCCCCTATATATTGGAGGTCAGAAATCTGAATCCGTCCAAAAAACGTATGTTTATTCAGAGAAAGTACATTTTTGTGTCTAATTTCGTAACTTAAAATATCGTCTGCACTTATAATATTTTAGTATATTAGCACCCTCTTTTACCATTTAGATTGAGTCCTAGAACGTGAAAATCCGAACATTAGATCAAAAGTAATTCAGGGTAGTCCTTTTTTTTTGGCGCGCTGTGCATGTAATGTACGTACGCACAGCTCAAAATAAAAAATGGAATATCTTGAATAACTTATGTTCCTAATGATCGGATTTTCATGTACTAAGACTCAATCTTAATGGTTCAAGGAAATGACTCCAAACCTCAATAGCCACCCAACCTTCAAATATGCTTATTAAATAGTGCAGATGATATTTTTAGTTACGAAATCAGACACCAAAACGTACTTTCTCTGAGTAAACATAATTCTTTTTTTAGCTGATTCGAATTTTTGACTCTCAAGATATGGAGGGGGGATAGCAGCAAATCTGGAAAATACGGTTCCAATAGTATAATCAATATAGCGGTTCAAAGTTTGGAGCCTTAACTGTTAGTTTTACTTTTCGCGTATTTTACCATATTTCGAAAGCTGTATATTTGTTTAAAAACAAAATATAACTTTTTTTTAATTGTAATGTGCATAAATTTTTACATCTTTCTGAAGAATGTATTTTTAAATAGCAAAATTCAAAATTTGAGCACAATCTGTAGAATAGGTTCTGAGTTATCAAATTTTAAATTTCATTTATCATGAACATAAAGTAATCTGGACAATTTAAAGTTTTATAACAAACATAAAGTAATCTAAAGTATTGCAACTTTTGCTTTATACATGTTCCATTAAGTTTAATTATTACTAGAATAATTTTCAAATGGCAGTGTTGTGATCACTGTAAAATTTTATTTTATGAAGATTTTGCTGCAGATCGGTTCAATAAATTTGTTTCCAGGGCTTTACATCATCTTGCTTTTCGATTGTTAATCGATAACGTAAGAAACGATTGAATTTTCTTTGTTAATTTTTCAGGTTAGTGCTCAAAGATTAGCTTAGTGTTCATGTTAGTGTTTTTTAAGACAGCAAAAGTAACAGTTACTTGAAATTTTCTTTTTTGCACGATTATGCGCTTCATTGAACGCGTAAGACCTGTCTTTTTAATAAAACGCGGATTGAAAACACAATTTCATTTTCTGGATAAAAAACTGATTGAGTAAAAAAAAATAGCGCTACAAAGTAAAAAAAAAATTTTTTTTGCTTTTTGCTTTGGAAATTATACTTTCTGCTATATTTCTATTCTGCTATATTTCTTCCATTTTCAGCACTTATGAAAGTTTTTTCCCCTCTAAATTTAAAGAAATTAACACAATTTTATATGGCAGTTTTCTGTATTTCGCCTCTTTTAAAAGAAAGAAATGTCGATTCGCCGTTTTTAAAAGGAAGAACGTTATAAAATTTTCTTATTATTTTGTATATAAAAAATTTGCCTTGCCTTTATATAGAGAGGTTGCCTTGAATGAGGCAGTATAGTATGAATTATGGCATAATTAGTAGTATACTGTGAGTAGTACACCTGAGTTGTCATGAATGAGCTTGTGCCCCAATCACAAAAAATCCTGACGAGGCTAATATATTACAAATGTTTCAAGCTGTGCAATAAAATGCTGTTTTATTTGATTCATTGAAAGCGTACCAGCGATAGTTGTTCCAATAATTAGATAATTATATAATTTATTTCTTCTTTATGAACACTGTGTACATAGTAAAATGTTATAATGTAATTTCTACAGCCTGTGTGGGTTTTTAATCAGTATTTTATTCTTACGAATCATGTTAATAATCTTAAACATTTTATTGACTTGTATATGGTGATAATTAATTCAAAATTTTAATAGTTTAGATGTATTCACAAGTGCTTTTTGCCTCGATGTAGGTGACATGTTTCCTTCACTGAGCCAATAGCACTTATTTTTCAAATAATATTTCATAATATAGGCGTAAGATGGGAAGTAATTTAATTGTAAGTTAATTAACACATTAACATGTGCAAAACTATAAAATCCACTTGCTGAACATTTTGTTAAAGCGGTCCATTGATGGCAATATTCCTTTATATCTCTTAAATATAAACAGCATCAAGTAGAGCATAATGTTACATTATAAAATCCAAATCTCTCATAAATTAGAAATGAAATAAATTTCAAATACCTCATGAAATCATTCAGTTTCTTCATGCTATAGTACTGAACGCTCAATTTCGATAAACCTGTTCTGGCAAGAAACTTCATGAGATCTGGAAAGAACAAAACTGCACCTGATTGGCCGAGTGCAGAAAGTGCGTTCACGGCATTGTTGATAGTTGTTGTTTGCGCATCATGCAGTGGGATGCGCTTACCCAGGACCAAACTTGTCATATTGTTGGAAATGCTGTGAGAAAGGAGGTCTCGTATGTCAGTCGGCTCACCTTGAAGTTGAGATAAGTTTTTAAGGAAATCTCCAATTTCAGCCTGCACGAAATTAAAAATGTTAATTTTTATTTTTGTGCACTATTAACTGCACTGTTAATTTAAAAAAAAAAACCTTTAAAATTAACAGATTATCGAAACAGTTGAATAGACCATTGAAATTTTCAAAATAGTTGAATTGACTATTCAAATATATACACCGAAGAGCCATTACATTATGACCACCCTGCTAATAACATGTAGGACCACCTTTAGCCCTCAAAACTGCTTGCACCAGCCGTGGCATTGATTCCACAAGGTGCTGATAGGTAGTCTGAGATATCTGGTACCAAGCGCTCACCAACTGGTCCTGCAATTCTCTCACATTGCGAGGGAGTTGCGTGGCTGCACGAATTTGGTTTTCCAAGTAGGACCGCAAATGCTCTATTTGATTAAGGTCAGGTGAATTTGGGGGCCAAGACATGACTTGAAAGTCACTGGAATGTTCCTCGAACCAATCCATGACAATTCGACCCTTATGACATGGTGCATTATCCTGTTGTTAAACACCATCCTCCGCAGGAAACACTGTTGCCATGAATGGGTGAACCTGGTCTGCAACTATGTTCAAGTAGCTTACAGACGTCAGGGATTGTTCTATGAGGATTATGGGTCCTAATGTGCCCCATGAAAACATTGTTCCTNAATATCATTTGAAAACCAGGGCGAGCCCATTGTTATAGATGGAGGGTGGTCATAATGTAATGGCTCTTCGGTGTACATATTGTTTTAAAATCTCCATGTTAAAGACTAGAAATCTGTTTGACTCTCATATGCAACTGAAAGTCACTCTCACAATTGCATTTGTTAGATCTATGTCACAAATAAGCCGGTTCTTGTTACGTCTTCACTGGGATTGACTTCGATAATGAATTTTCAGATTTGCATGTTGTTTTTGTTTTTTTACCATTAAAGCTCTAATTTCGATTCCAAATGCGAAAGATATAAAACTAATATAAATAAATAATTACTGTGATTGACCAAGTTAGTAATTTCTTTTATTTTAATAATGTTTTTGTTTTTTACCCTTTAAATAGTATTTTGCTATCCCAAATGAAAAAAATATAAAACCAATATACACTACTGGCCATTAAATCAGGTCAGGAAGATGCCGAGCCCACTCGTGAAATTTGTGTGACAGATAAAACATAGTGTGATATTTAAACGATTTAATTTTCAGCACATAAATGTAAAACAGGTGACAGTGGCGACACATATAATGCATATAGAAGTAAAGGTTACAGAGATTTTCTAATGCTGAAATAGAATTTGATCGTTATTTTCGGCTTAGAAAGTGTTAAGAAAAAACTCCTAGGAAAAGTATAAAAAACAGCCATATTATTAATGAAGCCATTTAATTTTGGAAATTTTAAAAATGTCTTTTCTTACTTCAATAACTTAAGGCCAATGAGATTGTTAACAAATACTGATGAAATAATTGGAATTGTTTTAGCTTAATTGTGTGGCTATAAGTATTTAGTTTACCTAATGAACTCATAGTGTTATTCTGTAATATTGATAATATTATTTTTTTTCACAGCCTACGTAGAATGAGGTTTTAGCTAGTAATTACATAAAGTTATTCAATATCTTCTAATATTGCCTAAAAGCTAAAAATTGATACATTTTTTTGTTAAGACTACAAACTACCAAAATACGCCATCAACCAAAGGCCATAATACTTGAAGCATATGGTATGCGGGTGGGTATTTTCAATACATCATTTAAAAGTAAGAAATTTATAAATTTAATCTTTTAGTATTTTTATCCACAAGTTTAGAAAATATAAATGCAGAATTCTTACTTCTAAATCTTCTTCCCATCTTGATTTGCCCATGCCAATATCTTTTATTATTTTCATAACGTAACGCCTTTCTTCTACCCATGCATCTCCGTTAGTCGAAACAAAGCCTGCAAAAATAAATACAATATTCTTAATTATACTTATTTAACTAAAGAATGCATTCGATATTCTAAACCCTAGAGCTGTACTATGTTGAACAGAACACAATTGGATTTGCATCCAATCAGTTTTTATATTTAAGAGTGTTTTTCGTGGTTAAAGTATGGGACCTCTGCATGTTATTATTGATGAAAGGAAACTCTGTTGCCCCCAAAGGTAATTTCGACAAACGAATTCTACTCACTTGGCTTAAGAAAATGCTTGGAATTTTCGAACAGTGTTTTCAGAACGACAAACTTTCATGTCATTTTTGAGACCTTTGCTAAATAGTGGTATCAAGTTATTGTTATGAAGAAACGTTGTTTTCTCTATGAAATAAAGGAGAAACTTTTTTTACGCTGGTAATCATTGCTTTTAAATTATTGCGCGCTCTGGATTTACCTTTCAAGCATCTAGTAAAAATATATTTAATATTTAATGATTCACAGTAATTTGTTATAGAGGAGAATTGATTCATCGGGTTTAAGGTGCGAGTTCTCGTAATCTTTGAATAGTTTTGTACAGTTTAATATCGTTAATTTTTTTAGATAAGTGTATTGATGGTTTAAATGTGTATAATTTTTGCAATTAATTCCCATGTCTTTTCCTTATGTGCTTGACTAGAAACATTCTCTTTAATCTACATAGATTTCTTCATATTGTAAACGTTTCATATTTTAGAAAGAGTTTAACACAGTAGTTCTAATCATTGATAAAATATATTGAACATTGTTAAATTATTACCTAATCCACCGGGATGAAAGTCGAAAAACTTTGGAGGTCTATCAAGAATGGCTGGATTGCTAAACGCATCTTTAACAGATTCAAAGTCATTGAGAATAACAGCAAATGATCTTCCCATGTATATCCTAAAAATTAAAAGCCTAATATGTGCAGATCATGTAATACAGAATATTCACAAAATAAAAAATTCATGTTTCTTTTTGGGAAATGTACAGGCGTTATTAATTTCCAAGACTGCAATTGGAAAAATGTTAGAATTATCACGTTAATGTTACAGTAAATGTTATGTTATCAGTCAAGCGGCTGACTTTTCTAAAAACATTTGAAAAATTTTAGATAAAAGAAATATGCTCCATAAAAATGTCTATAAGTCTAGAATATAATACAAGTTTAAGTTATAAAATGTAGCGAGTTGTTAGAAAAAAGTATATATATTTTTTTATTCGAAGTGCTTGCATATACACTACCCGTCGGTCAAAAGTTTGCGAAAATTTTGAAATTTGCAAAAAAAAGGTCTAAATTCAAATGCTTATAGAACTTCGAAAAATCATTCAAATTGCATGAAAATTTGAGATGTTCCAAAGTGAACCCTCTACAGTTAGTTACATATGATCAAATTGCAATACTTTGTTTTTTGAGAACTGAATCCAGCTTTTCATCACGGATTGCTTTTATGGTGAAAAAATTTGTTAACTTTGAACACTTGCCAAACTTGCAAAAAGCAATTTTTTGTACTTTCTGTTAATGGAAAATAGTTATTTGAACCGTTCTATGTAAGCCCTCAAAATTTCAGATCAATTCGATTTTTTTTTGACGAAATTATGGAATTTTGAAAAACATGTGTATTTTTCTCGATTTTTGAGCATTCCACATATGCAGTCTTTTGGTCTATACATCTTCTACCAAAGAACTTTTTAATTTTAATGTTTTCCATATTTTCAAATAGCTAATATTCATTATAAAGCAAATATTCTTATTCATTATTGTAATTATTATTGTTTATATTTATTGTTTATATTTATTGCTTTGTTGTGATATTTTTACTTTACATTAAATTAAAATAAAAAGTTATAACAATAATTACATAAATAATTCTAAGAAAATAACAACAATAGTATAAAAAATTTGCATTTTTGCTAAACTATTTTATTTACAACAGGTCAAATATTTAACATATTCTTATTCGTATTTTGTAATTAAATAAATTAACATTTAAATCTTAGATTCCTCGAACCATCCACCTTTTGCTTTTATTATAGCCTTACATATGCATAGCATTCGTTCTAATAAACCATTAATCACTTCAAGTGATATAGAGTTCCATTCCTGTTGTAAAATGTCCCATAACTGACTTCGATTCAAATATCAGAGCATCGTTTGCAAGAACAAACAAATTTTAGATGAAATGTGACATCTATGAGATATTGTTTTAATTATATTCATAATAAGTTCCTTGTAGTAACAATAATTACAATAATAAATA